AGCGCGATTCATGAGGTGTCCTCAAAATAGAAAATGAAACAAATTACTTTACCTTTTGATATAATTTGTCCAAAATTTCACTAAAAGTTGAATGTAAACAAACAATTTTGAACTTGAAAAATAACAGACATGAATTCTCAGTTCAATATGTTGAACAAAAGAAGTGAACGAGATCTCGTGTATCGAATTCGAAACAATCACACACCTAAAGCAACAGAAAACAGGCATACTATTTATAAGGCACTTTTAACGAATTAGCACTCATCGGTTTTTAATTTGGTATCAATTCATTGAAGTTAAAAAAAATCTGCAGCGATTCCGGTTGTTCATGTAAATTAACATTGTAATGTAAGTGCGTGTGTAAGGACCTGAGAATTGGAATTTGCAGCGATTCCGCTGACAGAAATCGGAGGATAGAAAACGAAGAGGCCGTGAGGATAGTAGAAGGTGAAGATGCATCCGAGTAAAACACCGACGAGAATCGCAATCGTGATTCTCGATCTACGAGTTGAGTCTGTTGTCGAGACCATTGAAATTGTGGTTGTTCCTATTTCCGTTGAGAATCCGTTGGCTAGTGATCGGCAATTGTAAAATTCCGACGGAAGTAGATGATCGGAGCAAGTTCGTAACCCTAGACAGAGAGACGCAGAGGAACAGATCGTCTTCAAGTGAGTGTAGCCGAAGAGAAGCTTTGTACGGCAACTTTTTCCCATGCTATGCATTGCTATGCTTTACCTCTTGAAAAGAATATACCATGCTTGCTTGTTTTTCTTCTTTGCTACAAATACTTTTCTTATTCTCATCAAAATTTTAAATTTAAGGGTTAAAAACGTAATTTTAGAAAAATATTGGGTTATTCTTGTCAGAAACCGAAGAATGCATACTATGACTGTATGACACATACCATTGTTTGGTTTTTCGTTAGGGTCGTGAAAGGTGTCATTATTGGGTGCAAATGTATATATCTTGAACTATATAAATTTTCCTTGTCAGATTTGGTTTTTGCAAGGTTCTTTCTCCCCTTGCATGTGCGAATTTGAATCTCATTTGTATCATTTTCTTAGTTTTTAGCTTTTAATTTCAGATTTATTATGTTTATGAAAAATTTGAGAAAAAAGATTCATAGACCGGACCTCTCATACGAAAAGCAAGAAACTAACTAACAAACCGATAATGATTTTGTATAAAATATCTATAGTTTCGTTTCTTATAGTTAAATGGTGTCACCACTTGGAAAAAAAAATTAGGTCCACCTCTGTGAGATTCAAAGCTTATTCGGTTAGCTAGACATGATTATTTGGTAGTGGTTTAATAACATAGAAATTGGTTTATTCAATAAGGCCTTGTTTGTTTTTTATAAAAAAACTTTTATCAACCTTTTATGTCTGATTCGTTAAGAGGTATGGTAATTCAGACTGTTTGTTTTTTCCAATTTTTCAGAGACACTTATATTTTATTGTCCTCTTATTTGGTAAGAGGTAAACCAATCTCTTATTTGTGTCATATTTTTCTTCAAAACCTCAACAACGACGTTTCTCAATTGATTAACTTTATTCGATCATTTCCCTCAATCGATCATTACCAATCAATCCTCGATTCTCTCAATTGATGTATTTGAATAGGATTTAAATGTGTTAAATATCGTTAATGACATATTTTCTTTTAAATGAATCCTAATTATATAATTTAGATGCAATTTTGTAATGGTGATGAATTAAATATGTGAAATTGTATAAATTTATCTATAAATTCAACATTATAATTTTATAATGTAGGTAAAATAAGCAATTTAAACAAATTCAGAAGTTTATCAGTTTACAAAAAAAATAGTCTTATTGATTCAAATGTCAGACTTCAACACCACCTCTTATAAATCAGAAGAGAAATAAAAATTCATATTTCAGCATCTCTTAAAAAACAAATGTCACTTAAGTTTCTATAGGGAAATTTTATCCAGAAAATCAAGTTTTTTTCAAACATGCTCCTCCCAAAAAAAAAATCACGTTTCTTTCATTATGAAAAAACTTTCACAAACAAAATCTTCTCAATCTATACAGACAGATCAATTCACACAGACAATTTTATTCATACAAGACTTAATGAAAAATCAACCAAACACCCTCTCATTCAACTCTATTATTTCTTTTACATGATTTATATCACCACAACAAAATCGAGTTTAAGTGACACCAATAATTTTTATATGTCATAATATACCGTTTTACAGGATCTAAGTTTGTAAGACCAAACAATAAATCATCATATCTAAAGGTGTCGTACTAAGTTTACATGACGCTTTTAGACGTCTCATCAAGTTTCTTAGAACACTTTTAATATAAATTGTATACTAACTATTTTATAAAACATTTTTTTAAAGTGCACTATGAAAGCATCTATCTATAGAACATCTTTTACGAGACATTTTTTCAAGCATTGTCCTACAAAATAGCTAATACGATGTTCTCTATAAAAAAATGTCCTAAGAAGCTTGTCATGACGCCCACAAATGTCTTATAAACTTATTACAACACCTTTAGATATGACACATTATTATTTGGTCTTATAAACTTAAGTTTATAAAACAGTCTATTATAACACTTGCACATTATTGGTATCCAATAATCTCAATTCAGTTGTAGTGCGTGTATATTAATTTATTTGCTTGTACATACCATTATCTGTAAGGATTCTCACAAAAATAGCTTCTTGACCTCTAATATTGTATTCTCGAAACTTTTTTTTACAGTAAAAAGAAAAGATAGCAAAGGGAAAAAATAAAAATCTCGTGTTTTCAAGTACTTTTTGAGAGCAAGGAAAAAAATAACGTTGATTTTTATTCCAAAACTTTCCTCCCAAATGTGGAAGTAAACCGAACACAAAAAAAATAATAACAATTATTTTGTTTATACAATTAAACATCTACCCATCAATTAAAAACAATTGTAAAATATATTTTTTTGATTAACCTGGATATCCAACCCGCTATGCGAGCCGACTAATCCCAAAGCGACCACCTGCTTTGCAGGTAGGCCGGATTCACCGCATTTGAACCTTCGTGACCACAAAGAGATTTTTGTTTCTTCATGGATTTGAACCTAAGACCTCTAGACACTTTTGACCTTTGGAGTCAAATTCAAACCAATCAGACATCACCCTTATGGTTAAAATTGTAAAATAAGTAATAACATTATATTTGTAACATTTTTTTTTCTTGTTCTACTATTTAACAACATTTATTTTCTTACAATCTTCCTTCATTTGCCTTCTTAACATTAATACAAAAAAAAAATTCTAAAACTTGCAAATCCTACTTTATATTGATAATACTATATTATAAATGATTTGACAAAAATTCTTAAAAACCATTTTTTATGCATTAAGTACTTTTTATTGATGCATATTACTTAAAATTCAAGATTACAAGTAAATTGTGCGTAAGTGCAACTTAAAGCTTCATGTTTGAATTCGTGTAACTAACTGCAGATAAACATAATCAAATATATGATAAATATCTCATTTTAATTATAAAATATAATTAAGATAATCATTGACTTCTAACAAAATACTTGATCATTATCTTTATAAAAAATTAGATTATTAAACCCAATTTTTTTTTTAAGAAAATACATAAAAAAAAAAGAAATTTTAAATAATTAGTTTGGTACTAATATCAATATCTTTTTTCAAATTTTTTATGATATCTTCATATTTATATTTTATTCAAAAATAAAAACATTATATTTTTCTCAAAATCACATAAAACCATTTTATAACATCGACTGAGACAAAAAAAAATGAAACATTAAAATCGAGATGTATCTCGCTAGATTGTGCAAGTACCCATCTAATATAGATAGTCAAGCTGAAAATCAGTCCTGGTCTAAGATTTTTCTTTTGTAATCAGTTCCATCGTAACCAATCTCAATCGCGGTCCCAACTAATAACACCCGACTTGGACTATCTCTAATTATTGATATATGCCATCCAAATTTTGTTTTAGTTTATGCTATCCAAATTTTGGATAATGATTACTTTTTATTATTTTTAGAACTAAACTTTGTATAAATCATAAAATCATATATATACTATATTATAAAGCATTTGGCAAAAACTCTTAAAAACTATTTTTAATGCATAAAATACTACATATTGATGCATATTACTTAAAATTCAAAATTACAAGTAAATTGTACGTAAGTACAACTTATTAAGCTTCATGTTTGAATTCGTGTAACTAATTGTAAATTAATATAATCAAATACAGAATAAATTTTTATTTTAAATATAAAATTTTAAATATAATTAGGATAATTATCAAATTTAAAAAAAATATTTAATCATTATCTTCATAAAAATTATATTATTAAATTAAAAATAAATTACTTCGTCATTAAATCTAAATTAAATTATAATAAAAAATTAAACTAAATAATTACAAAAAAATGATAATTTATATATATATATTTAATTTTTATACTATCTTCAAATTTATATTTTATTAAGAATGCTCAAACCACGTAAATTAGTATTATAACATTAACAGAGACCAAAAAATAAAATAAAACATTGAAATTGAGATATATTTCACTACATTGAGGATTCTTTTTAGATAAATGAATAATAAATAATTACTATTATTGGTATTATCAAATTAAATAAATGAATAATAAATAGGTAAAAAAACAATAATATAATAAAACTTGCCTACAAAAGAGGAAATTTAAATTTTAAATCTTAAAATTCAGAAAAAACAAACAATCGTGGCCTAATATTTAGCAGTTAATTCAAATTAATTATTCAAAAATAAAAATAGTTCGTACAGAAATCATGGAAATAACCTAATCAACCCGTGAACAATCAGTTTTTCATATAACTACCAAACCCATGATTCCAAACAAGTAAAGATTCAAATGCATTCACAAGTGAATACACATTCTAATTCCCATATTCATAGTAAATAAACCTATAATAATTAAAAACAAGAACTTACCAACGACTGTTCATGTAAAAACTGCAAAGGGTCCACTCGGGTCGACTTGCTTACACAACCCTAAATATGTCAAATAAAGGATCCGATCTTTAGCCCCGGTTCGATGATTCCCGGTGTGTTTACAGAAATACTTCAAGTGTTCCAACGTGCAACACCCCAACATCTGTCCCAAAAGCAAGAACAACCAGTTGATCGAGTTCTTCTTCTCTGCAATCTTCGGTTTCACGCTGTTCTCTTGATGACAGAAATTACACCTCGGCAGCGTCGGGTTTAACAGCTTCGGTGGAGCTCGATCACAGAAACTCTTCTTGTTCTTGGCTATATAGACGGCGATTTGCAAGAACTTTTCTTTAAGGTTGTATTCAATCTCGTACCTTTGCTCACAACGCTTGCATTGTACTTCGCCAGAGATGGTGTCGATGCCTCTTGCTAGTAGGTATCTGAGGCTGTGGACTTGAGCACGGCGGTTTGTTGCCCATCGGAATGGTGGTTGGATGGTTAGAGGTTTACCAGGTTCTGGTGCATGTGTAGGGTTTCTACGGGGGCGACGTGGTTGTGATGGTTGTGGTTGCGGTTGCGGTTGTGGCTGTTCTGGTTGTTGTTGTTGTGGTGGTGGTTGTTCTGGTTGTGGTTCTGGTGGTGGTGGTGGTGATGGTGGTTGTGGTATGTAGAAGGGATGAAACATTAGGAGTTCAGGAGGGTTCTCTGGTGGTGGTGGTGGGGATGGGGGTGCGGGTGGAGGTTGTTCCGCTGATGACATTGATGATGAACAGAGGGCTAGTGACAATTCAAGATTGGGCTCACCATGATGAAGTGGCGAACACGGTGACAATGGAGTATCGTACTCGTTTTGGTCTATTTCTCGAGCAGAACGAGTTCTTGTTGACATCAATGATTCTTCCTCATCGTCACAAACCGCAAACATTTGGGTTGGTGGGGATGTCATGATCAAAGGACGATGAAGAAGGTTGAATGGGGGCAACAAATAAATAGGAGATGGAAGAATGATTTCAAATTTCAAATTCTTTTGGTAAATATCTGTTTCACATGATCTTCTGTTCTTTTCCTATTTTCTTGGAGGAGTTGCTTAACTGCTGATATCTCTCTCTAAAAAGGTGGTCACAAGTTTCAAAATTTAATAAATATTAATTAATTAATTGGTGCCATAAATGTTGGTGTTCTGTTTGGAATTCTTGTTGTGAGACAAAAGTCATTAAAGATTAATCATAGTGTATTAACTTAACGATGATTAATACTCATGATACCGTTGAACACTGAATTCAATTATATTTTAAATACAAACGTGGTTGTTATTTGCGTCTCCTACCTATTAAAAAAACTTAGAAAAGACCTAGTCAATATCATTAAACGACCTAGAATATATAATCTTTAATAGTATAATATCTATACTATATTATAAAGTATTTGACAAAAACTCTTAAAAATAATTTTTTATGCATGAAATACTGTTTATTTATTCATATTACTTAAAATTTAAGATTACAAGTAATTTTGCGTAAGTACAACTTATTAAAGCTGATTTTTAAATTAATGTAACTAATTGTTGATAAACATAATCAAATACATGATAATCATTCATTTTAAATATAGAAAATCTAAAATATAATTAAGATAATCATTGAGTTCTAACGGAATGTTTAATTATTATTTTTATAAAAAAATATTGTTAAACCAAAATTAATCTATACTATATTATAAAACATTTGTCAAAAACTCTTAAAAATTATTTTTATACATGAAATACTGTTTATGATAAGTATTACTTAGAATTTAAGATTATAAGTAATTTTACGTAAGTACAACTTATTAAAGCTTCATTTTTAAATTTATGTACCTAACTGTTAATAAATAGAATCAAATACAGGATAAACATTCATTTTAAATATAATAAATCTAAAATATAGTTAAGATAATAATTGAGTTCTAATAGAATGTTTAATTATTATTTTTATAAAAAATTATATTATTAAACCAAAAATAAATTACTTTGTTTTTAAATCTAAATTAAATTATAATAAAAAATTAAATTAGAGAAGTTACACCAAAAAAAGGAGAACTATTAAATAGTTAATTTGATGCTATTATCGATTTTTTTATTTATTATGTTATCTTCAAATTGATATTTTAATTAAAAAATAAAAACATTACCACTTTCTCAAAACCACATAAAATCATATTATAACGATAAAAGACAAAGAATAAAAACTAAACATTAAAATCGAGATTTATCTCGCTGCATTACGCGAGTATCATTCTAGTGTTAATTAATACAAGTAAGATGATAAAAGAAAATTAAATGATATAATATGTTAATTGAAAGAATTTTGAATTGATTATTTTATATCTACTATAAATTTTGAGTTTGTTAAAACAAATTTTAGAAAATTCTAGATTAATCTATGATTTTGAATAACCATTACATATAATATGAGTATCTATAAAATTGGCTCAACCTTGCATATCCAAATTGATTTATGGTTTTTCAAAAATATAACTAATAATTAAATTAAAAACTTTATTAAAATTTTTAGCATATTTTAATTATGTATGAAATAAAATAAGTATAACTTTAATTTTTATGTTACATAAATAAAATTGTTATATTTGCATTTCAATAACTAAATATATTTGGCATTAAAAATGTTGAAATTAAAAAAAAAAAACAGATTGTATGATGGGGAGGAGGGAAATGGGTTAAAAGTTGACAACACCACCTTCAAATGAAAATCACATAATATTGATGAAGCTTTTAGGCTTCAAACTTAAATAAAAGATGGAGATGTCCTTTAATTTCTCTTCACTACATTTTTACTTTAGTAGTTGTATGTTTGGGCAACTAAATATTAAATTGATGA